CGCAAGGTCGTACTGAGGTGCCGTTGCCGTTACTTGGCTGTCCGCGAAGAGGGACGAATCCTGCAGTAGGCATTGTTTTTTTCAGTGTCCTAGAGTAAGGCTTCTCATGAGCGAGGAGTGTGAGAGGGGGTTCGTCTACCCCGCAGCACACTTCAGCGTTGAATTAGCGTCCGTCAGCCACCCGGGCCATGCCTTGTTGAAGCCCAGGACTAGCGCATTGGATTAAGCTTTCGGTCAAGCTCCACGAATGGGGGGCCAAGCATCCTTGTCGATTATCTCCCGTATGCCGTGGGATTGCAGCGGGGGATCGCAGTCTAAAGCAAGCGGCCATGGCACATGATTGAACAACTTGAGAGCGGCCTTTGCCGACAATAATGTCGGCGCTACTTGTGACTTGACAAGCCGCCGAAGCTGCGACATCTGCCCACATTCCGGTGTACCTGATAACAGGATATCAATGAATTCCAACCCCACCTCTGCCACTGACATCGAAACACGCAAGATTTCTCCCGAATACAAATACGAGCATCACCATGTTCTAGGCAACGCCGTGTGACCACCGCCACAGTATGCTGGTCTATAGCGCGGATTACAGAGCAATTGCCACACCTGTGGCATGTGTGGAGGGGCCAATGAAGAGGGGTTGTGCTGTGAGCCCAGCTAAGGACTCCAGGATTTCAGTCGTCATCACTGCACGCTACTGTGGGCACTCAATACTTCCAACACCAGCATGTCAATCCTGCATTGTGAAACCGACACGAATCAGGACAGCCAAATTTTGTGACCAAATGACTTGGAAATGCGACCACAATTTTCATCAGTATGCTGTAAAGTACTGGTATGTCGAGGGATGCCAGACAAACATCCACGGCTACGGGAAGGTGGACCGAGATCAGTTACCGAGGACCATGCATGCATGCATGCAATGTGACTTAGACGTTGTTGGCCAATAAGCAAGACCTACGAGACGTCTTTCGCTTAGCGGTTCAGGAAGGTAGTGATCCAGACGGGCACTCTAGCAAGTTTTGTGGTGGTGTGTAGAGTGGGACATGATGATAACAGTACATCTAGTGACCTGGTCGAGGCCTTTCGAGTATGGCATCATGAACCGGTAATCCTGCATAGTCTACGTTGTCATTCCTGGGGTTGTAGTGAAAATAGAGGGTGCATTTTCCGTCTCTCCCGGCTTGGTCAAGGAGCTGTGGTACGTAACAAGAGACAAGACGGAAACCCGGCAGCGGGTATGATGATCCTTGTATCGCACGCGATACTTGTCCGCTGGGTAGAAACGTAGAACGCATGGTTAGCGTGCATGTAGTCAGGTAGGATTCCCAGCGCAAGTGTATCGGTGAAAGCCACATCAATTTGTACGTCGAGCACCGATCGTCATGCCTCGACGCTCGCACATATTACGGAAATATGACATTCTACGAGTTAGTCCCTCCAATGGCGGTGATAGATCGGAAATACGGGCGAAGACGAGCAAACATCGCACTCAGCTGATAACGTTAACCGGACGTCGAAACCATGGCTTGTGTAGCTGAAGGATGATTGGCCAAAGTGTGCCAAATGTGTAACGAAGAGGGGTTGTTTGGCGCTCAGAGGGGTGCGCGGCGATGTCGTGAGTGTCTAGATTTTCGATCGATAGAACCAAGGTACGGGCGCGTAGATGGATATGTGTGGTTGCATATAGAAACGATCTTGATATTGTCATAGAGAGACAGCAGGGTGAGGCTGCAAGTCGCGCTTTGCAGGAGGCGTCCCTGTAGCAATGGCGTGCTGCTGCTGTCTTGGGTCTAGCTAGTTTCCACAGGGTTGTGGCTCAGGGTGGCGATGATCGAAACAAACCTGTGCAGATGGAATTGTCATGATACTCCAGGAGATGGAAAGAAGGATGCGACAAGATAGGGGATGGCGACAGTGCAGGGAGGAAAGCGAGGTTGAAGCCGAGTGAAGCGTGTCGGAGACAAGCGTGCAAGCTCCGCGACGGCGTCGGTGCCAAGACGAAATTTGTTATCGATAGCAACATCTGCGACGGCCACGATCCAGGGACGGCCGACTGGCCGAATTAATTGCCCGTTCACCAAGCATTTGGAGACATGGCGCGCAAGAAGAAAAGTGCACAGTCGGATGCGGCAACTAACGGGAGCGCTTCGTCGACACCGCTGCCCCCGGCTGCTCCGGCTGCTGTTACTGCTGCTGCTGGTGGAAGCGCAGGGACGGCGAAGAAAGCGGGCAGCGAAGCCTCAACCTCTGCGCTCATCATCTGTCGCAACAAGTGAGTCTGGGGCGGGTATCTGCCGTCTTGCTGTCCTTGCCGAGCAGAACATGCCCTAATAGATCTTCTATAGGCATTGGCGCTACATTTCTTCGTTCCATGGACCCTGGCTGCAACTCCCTCCAGAAGTCCTCGAGTCGCTCGCCCATAGCAACTATCTCTCTCCTCGTCCACACCCCATTGATCCCGCCGTCTTCTACGACCTTGTCAAGATCCGCAAGGCGGTCGACGAGGCCACTAATCTCGCTGTGCGCGCCACCTCTGGTCTGACCTCGGCCGCCCTCAGCAATAGCCTCAATGGCGGCAATAGCATGCTGGGTGGTGCGGCCGCGCTGGGCATAGGCTACGGGGCAGGGGGCACGTCGAAATTGAGTAGAGAGCGGAAACATCGTATGAGAGAACTGGCGACGAACAAACTCAGCCAGGCGTATCATCTCGATGAGATCGCGGCCAGTGTTGCGACCATGCAGAGCGCAAGCACGCTCGAGGACGTGGCGCATTTAGTGCTGCAGCGCGAGCCGACCAACGTGGATGCCAAGTACGTCCATTTCTTCCACGAGAAGATTCCCAGTCGAATGATGGCACAGTGCACGCCCCTCGACACGTTGAACGATATCATCGCAGAGCGGCCCAACGACGGCAGTCCGCTGCGCACGCGCGCGTTGACCAGGATATTCAAGGACGACTATGTAAACTCTGCAAAAGATCTGAGCGAAGCCCTGAGCACAGCGCGGTACATGATGGCACAACATAGAGCGGGAAAGGATCAATTAGTGTTGGCAAAGACACTGCAAGAGCAGTATGGAAGAGATTGGAGACAAGAAGTCAAGATACCCGATGAAGACCAACCCAATTCACTCGAGACCCAATTATTATTTCACCGCGCCGGCGTCTACTTCACCATAGCATGCAGTCATGTTCATGCAGCCCTGGATGGTCTCCAGGAAGCCGAGGAAGCAAAGGCGCGACGAGATGTTATGATTGCAGAGGGTAAAGACCCAAATCCCATGACACCAGAAGAAGCGCATGCAAACCATCTCCGCCTTGAAGCACGAAAACAGGTCCGACAGAACGCCAAACGCGCTCTTCGTGATTACCTTGCCTTTTTATCCCATTTCGACTACACACCTGGTGTCTCCGCAGAAGTGGCTGAAGAATTCCTACGAAGATTAGATAATTCAGCAAACGGCAGCAACGATGGCTATAGAAACACCAAAATCAAACCCAACATGAACCGACTAATAGAAGAAACAAACGGTACCGCATCGCCGTCCATTTCCGAAGCGCTCGTCCCCCATCGTGGCGGTTTGACAAAGGCAAATTCTGACCGCGCATCATGGTCGAAACTGCCTCCACCAGAAATCTTCAAAGTATCCCAACTCTTTGATGCCGCACCCCCAGCTTCGTTACCACCATATCCAGCACCTAGACCCCCATCTGCAGCCGAATCCGCTGCTGCAGCCGCAGCAACTGCCTTCGCCGATAGCCACGAAAGCATAACATACCACCCCCTCATCACCGACGCCCTGCACTCTCTCCTCCTTTGTCACGCACTCATCCAAACCCCACCAAAAGAACACCTCCGGCACGCACATAACGCCGCACGTCTTGCCCGCGTCTGCGATGGCTATCCTATTTTCCTCGCCGCCCGCTCACCCGCGCGCGCCGACTGGATCGAAGTACTCCGACGAGCAGGAAACTGGATCGGACTCTCCACCTCATGGGAAAACCTATGTCGCCCCGCTCCCCTCCCAACGCATCACTACAACCCAAACAGCGGCACAGGCCCCAAAAATGGCACTGCAGCAACAGACATCTACACAAAACCTAGCACAACCCCGCCCCCCGAAACCCCCGCCCAACGCCGCGAACGCCAAAAACACGAGGCCATCCTCGAAGCCCTGGCTGACGAGCGAGTCGTAGACGAAGAATCCTTCCAACGCGCCGTCCGCGCCCGCGAGCGCCGTAATCGTGAGGACGAGGAGTTGGAAGCGAAACGGCAGCAACAACATCTCCAACAGCAACAGCAATCAAAGAAGAAATATCCAAGTAATTCCACCGAGCCCACGTCCACCGACGAAAACATAAACGGAGATGCAGATGCAGATGGACACCCCATTTCCCACTCCGCGCTTTCGCCTTCACCTCCACCGCCACCACCACCACCACCACCGCCGAAACGCTGGGCCCAGGATGACGGGAGGGAATACCCGATTTCTACCGAGCGCGCTGAGGCGATTAGTCGGTGGGTTAGGGATGCGCCGCCGGTTGGGGATGTGAGTGCGGGGGGAGCGGGGGGAGTTAGGAAGAAGAGGGCAAAAGGGAAGGCTAGGAAAGGGGGGGTTAGTAGGGTCGGTGTTGAAAGTTTGAGAGAGGGGGTTGAGGGGTTGGGGGTAAGGGATAGAAGGGGGGAGGAGGTTGACTAGATGGGATAGCCCCTTTTCGTTCTTGTTCAACCGCGTGACCAGATGAGCGATTTAAAGAGGGGTTTCGGGCTATAATTTTTATCTAGTAGACTGTGTTGATGAGAAGGACCTGTGGTGGGCTTTTTGAGTCTGCATGGGAGATGTTGTACAGTTGGACTATCATTCATGTTATTAATCGTGAGTAGCTACTCATCAGCTAGTCATCGCTCAAGTCCTAGAGACTTTTCCGGCTCTCGTCATGCATACCCATGACGCCGTCCCACCTTGAAAAGAATCCATTTTCCTAATGAATAAAACGCCGATCCAAGACAAATATCTTCCTACACAGTCCTCAGTCCACCTCGTACTCCCGCTCCGTGCCACCAACAGTAATATGATCCGATCCCAACTGCTCCATCTCTTTGCCTTCGATCTCGTCAAGTACCTTCTGCCACACCTTTTCGCAGTCTTCCTTTGGCATTTGCCCATTACTCCACGTGCATTGCAAATCTTCCGTTTTAATCTCAAACTTTTCATCGGCGTCACCTTCCTTAGGCGCATCATGCGGCTTCTCGTGTGGAATGCAATGATTGAGCAATCCTTTTAGTGGCAGCATGTTGGCCGCAAGCCAGTAGGCGCGGTGGAAGCGGCGATCGCTGGCCTTGGGCATGTCAAACTCCCATTTGTCCATCAGAATAAAGTCTGAATTTTCTCTAAAGGAGGCTACTCGCCACGGAGTGATGGTCGTCCAGCGTATCTCTTCGTGCGTATGCGCGTAGCGGCCGTATACACCGATGCTCGTCGTGGTTTCAGCGGCCGGGCCCCATTGGAATGGGTTCGCTGCATTGTCGAGTACGAGAACAGAGAACCTGGTACCTCCCTTGATGAAACCAGTGGTTATATGACAGTGCCACTTGGATTTCTGTGGAAAGGAAGTGGTTTTCTCGAGCCAATCGTCAATGTACGATTGCGCAAAGTCGAACCTGGCGCCCGAGCGAAGCTCAAAATGCCACACTGGCCATTTATAGGCCTCGTACTTGTCTGTAATAAGCTGTCGGGTTTCTTCGCTCGATGAGGGGCCATGGAGCGGTGGCTTATCCAGGGGCCGCTGCACATGGGAAGTTGCATAGCGATGGGATGATGATGAGATAGGGATAGGGTAGCGGGGTGGTGGAGCAGGTGCGTACACTTGGGGTTGCAGACTTAGCCTTCCGGCAGAAGATCCATGACCGAGAGAAGAACTGTAAGATTGATTCTCTCCATTAGCAGCGCGCACGGGATCATAGACAGAGTGACGGAAACTGTACGAAGGATCAGGACCCGGCGCCTGAGACCGAATAACATGTTGAGTCCCGCATGGATAGTAGGATCGAGGAACCCCCTCAGGTTCAGGGCCTGGAATAAGGGTGCGAAAACGTCGCGGAGGTTTAGAAGGCGCTTGCAAATCTTCATCACGGGACTTGCGCTTTCCGCGGTTCTGAGGATATCCATAGTTCTGAGGATAAGAAGGAGGTACAGGAGGCATACTGTACCGTGTTGACCATGCTGATTCTGTCCTTTGTGCCTGTTCAACTCGTTTTGCTTCTTCATTTTGTAGGAACTCTTCTCGTTTCTTTCGGGCAGTCTCATCCATTCTCAAGTTGTGTGTTGGCCACTCCTGGATTGACGGAGATATCTGAAAGGGTGGTAGTTGAGATATCAGCTGTTCAGGAGAAGAGTGCAGGAGATTCGCACGTGGGTGTAGTCGAGGTCGTGCCTCAGGGCGTTGCAATGGAGGAACTTGGGTATTGTCATGGGTAGGTACTGCATAGAGGCCTGAATAAGGCATGTATACTGGTTGTACCTGAGGCATTTGGACTTGTTCCGACGCAATTCTGTGCTGATTCTGAGCATACCAAGAGTGCAACTCACTGAAGCCATCATCGCGATACTGAAGAGGCAAAGTATGAGTGAGTTGATAACCGATTGGTCGAAACAGAAGGTCAGCATAAAGGTCGTGTTGATAATCTGGCTCTTGGTTGTAGTAGTCCGGTTCAGGGGATGGTGGGACTGCTATGATGGCACCTGCCGCGTTGGCCAAGTCATCCTTAGCCATATTTGTGTACCAAGCGGCAGGAGTAGTGGAGTGCGAAGGTCCCATGGAATGCACCTACAGTGAGTTGTGTCGACGATGTCATAATAGGAGTTGGGGAGGCGTGGGCTTGCTTGCTATTTATCTCTGGTGGAAGTGGTGGTGAAAGTGACAGGGAAGGCGCTAACAGCAAAGGTGATAGAAGGTGCGCCACCTCTTCAGTCACTTCACCAGGCACCTGCAGAAACACCATAAGAATCGGGCTTCCAACTTCTAGCCTACATGTCGGTGAAGCGTGAATGCGTGTGGAGTCGCAGACCGCTAACGAGCCGCGTTGAACCCGCGACGCAGTTGCCAGAGTGCTACGAAACTGGCAGAAATTAGATGTTAGAGAGGTCTGACATGTAAATAGTAGTGAAGTGAACATGCTATGACTGTCGGCACGGGTAATACAGCTTGGCTTATATTACCATTTAGGCATGTGAAAGTGGAAATAGGCGCATAGCCACGATTCATTGCGTGGGCTTACCATCTGATCACCTTTCGGCATACTCACAACCACGACCACTGACCAGTCGACTTCATGCCCACACAGCAAGGCCAGATTGTTCTCATGCAGCCAGCCAAAGAGACGTGTCAGACAGATGCCAAGCCCTTCAGGCAGACACAACCAGACCCATAGAGCGTTGTGGAACAGGGTAAAAGCAAAAGAAACTGAAACGAATATGCATGCGCACATGTAGCCTTACCCAGTCTTCTGCCCTGTGAGTCATAATACACTCTCTACCGTACTCCATCTCTTGCCACGCTAGACCTCTCGAATATGCGCTCCAACGCCAAACAAACAAGAGCAATGCCGGGCAACGCAGTTGAAGATAAGTAATATATCCTGCCCCATACGAGTTCGAAGCTACCGAGACACACTTCTTATACAACGCGCTTGACCTGAAAGGCACGTTAGTAGGACGACCCAATAAGCCGGTTGTCCATCTCATGGTCTTGCTTACCTCAAAGAATCGCTTCAACCACCACACCTGGAAGAAACCCTGGGCTGCCAGTACGATGAGCTGGAAAATACTCCACCATTTGACGCGCGAATTGGTGCTCTCGGCAGTGTTTCGGTGTACTCGCTCACGAGTGCTCATGTACATCTCCTCATCCTTGACCTGCGCTACGAGCTCCGACATGGACCGCACTGATACTATTAGCGTATGTCCTTGCCTGCCTCAATTCAAATGTTCTTACCTTCTTTCTCCAAAGGATCTTGCGGGGCTTCTGACTCGGGGACGTAGACAATACCGTGCACGTTGAATGAGACCTCTTTGGTGTTGGCGCCCCAGTGTTCGTTGTTAAAGCAGTACGTGTACTTTCCATCCTCGGTCGCATCGAAAGAATGGTCACCGTTGGCTACGCCGCGCTCGTGGACTTGGTAGCTGCGAGAGGGAGTTTCAATCTGCCAAGTTGTATTAGTCCTGCTGCTGCCATTGACGTCGCCCAAAGCCTCATGTCTCCCTGACGCACCCAAAAATCAATTTCCAGATTCCCGCTGCCGCCAAATTCCCGGTCACCGACTTGGAACGTGACTGTCATCTTGTCGCCTTTGTGCAGTTGCTCGTGGAAGCATTCGCGCTGATGGGCCTTCATCTGGATGTTGTGCGCTGTCGCAAATGACAGCAGACTGCTCGCCGCCGCGAAAATGGCGAATGAAGGGAACAGCATGTTTGTGGATGTCTTCGTGCTGCTTTGTCGTGCTCGAGGTTTGGATTTGGGGAAGCGCCAAGTACGTATACGGAGATGCCAGCTTGCCCGCAATTCCAGGGCCAGAACACTAGCGTCCCCCTTAGTCAGCGACTTCTTGATCTTACCCTCCTCAGAACGTCTTCTTCATCCCAACCACATCTCACTTATTACTAGACATGCCTCTTAGACTTTGCTTAGAGAAATTTATGACTCTTGAGTACCTTTGCAAGTCGCGAAAACAATGTTCTCTCACTACAAATATACATGGCTATCACGTGTACCACCCTTATTTTGGCTATGATGGCGATCTGCGGCAATGGCAATGTTACCAAAATCGAAACTCGGTGACAAAAATATAGTACACCCGAGTAGTATATTGGAGTCAATATTCAAAAGTGTGACATGTGTCTTCATTTCTTTGTGTGTAATATCTACTTCGCTGCAGCGTCTCACTTCCTACTCGTCATGCTGTCTCTTCTGTTCCTGAGTCACCTCTATCTCGTTTGCACAGCCTACCTCACATTCACCGGTCCTGTCGATCCTGTTTTTGAGCGTTTGTGGAGACCCTGTTCTCTCACCTCCACCGGAACTTACTTACAATTTGCCACTTTCGTTCGCGGCATCTGTGAGTTTTGACACGGATATTCCATCTACACGCACCATGCCCGACCCATCTAGCGCTCTCCGAAGAGTATCATTTGGTTATATCCTTGGGTTCAGTGATAAACCCTATAAAGATCCAAAACCACCGCCCCCACCACCGCGCCCCAGAAGGCCGAGCCAGCTGGCTGAACTAGTAAGTCACCTGATGCTACATTATGTCTATTGCTGATTCGAATTGATCTAGGTCGCTTCCCCGGGAGGTTTGGTAGAGTGGACAGCAAGCGATGGACGTAAGGGTAAACTTACGGGCATGGGCAAGCTGCAATTGACTGCCGCAAGTCTTACTAAAGTCCCATCTGAGATCCAGCCAGCAAAGGAGCATTTGGAAAAACCTACTCCCAAAAATCCCCCTGGTAACGCCGAGAATATATGGACAAACAACGATTGGAGTGGTTTCGAGGCGACTGGTGGGATCACGAAGTCAGCTTCAAATAAGGCACCTAGCAGCAAGAACGATGCCTGGGGAAATGGTGATTGGAATGCCAGTGGCTCTAACAAAGGATCTCAGAAGGCAGCTAGCTGCACCCAAGTTCTCTGGGGCTCCGGAGATGTTGGTGAAATGTGGGTAACACAAGCAGATACTTCCGGTGGTGATACCAAGAAGGATGAGAAGGAAGACGAGAAGAAAGCAGAAAAGAAAGCAGAGAAGAAATATGAAAAGAACGACTCGAAAGCGACCGAGCAGGCAACTAAGAGTGGCGACTCAAATGAAACGCCAGCCCCAACCAATACTGCTGCAGAAAGAGGAGAGACAAAGGAGTCCGATGATACAAATACATGGACTAAGGAGGAAGACGAGCAGTTACTGCGGATGAAAACAGAAGATATGCAGCTGTCGTGGAAGGCTATTGATAGTAAACTGGGTAAAGCCGACGGCCAGTCCAAAGCGAGATTCAAAATAGTTAAGCCAGCGGGTTGGAAACCTAACACTGCAAAGGACAACGCTGGTAAAGGGAATGCAAGCCAGAAGAACGACACAAAGGGCGACGAACAGAAGCAGAACCAGGGAACCAAGGACAGCAACAAAAACAGCAATGAGAAAGACAAGAAAGACAATGAAGTTGCCGATAATCTTTTGGGAGATGCTTTCGCAGGAATGCTCGGTGAGACTAGTGACGGCAAGCAGGGTGACGTTGAGAAAGCCAACAACACAGGTACCTGGGGAATTGGTGATCCTACAAAGACAGGCGATACCAGTGATGCTAAAGACAATAACGATGTCTGGATCAACACGGATGGGGCTGGTGATAGCAAGGACAAGGACCCCGCCGATCAATGGGGCCCGGCAGCCACAGGTACCCCTGCACTACTTTGGGATAATACCAACCAGGAAACCAACCCTGCCCTTGGACTAGACTGGGGTGCTTACAACCAGGAAACCAACCCTGCCACTCCACCAGGCTGGGACAATCCAGTCCCTGACATCCAGCAGCCCCTCAGTCCAGCAAAACCCGCACCAGCCTCTCGCTCCACCAAAGCACCATCCGAGTTTCGCTCGCGCCGCAGCACTTCCAGCAAGTCCAAGCCCAGCACTACTCGTCCTGCTGAGATTGAACTCGAGCCTGATGACACCTTTTCAGCCGATGACTTGCGCTTGATTGCCCGTATCCTGCAGCAGGACTGCTCCATGGTGTGGAGTAGGCTTAGTTGGCGGTTCCGGGACAAGACGGGTAGGACGCTGCATCCTGAAGTTTTCGAGAAGAAGATTACGGGGAGTGTTGAGGGGGATGGGAAGAAGTGAGGGCGGTTCTTGCTTCGATGGCTATGCAAATTTGAGCTGCATGTCTTGAGAAGAAGACGTATACTGGATTCTCTCGAGTAGTTTCAAGATCAGACTGCCAAATTTGTACGTATACCCGGCCAGTAGCATACTATCTACGAAATCCTCACTCCAAAAGCCCCAACACCCCCTCCCAAGCCCTCAACTCCAACGTCCCACTCTTAGCCTTCTTTTCCAACTCCCTTTCATCGTAATTCCCCGCAACCCACTTCTTCACTTTTATCTCTCCCAACCCCTCCCACTTGACCTCCTCCCCACTAAAATTCAGCACAGTAACAAACGCCCTATCCTTCCCCCACCGCCTAAATGCCACAACCTTCTCATGTTCCATATCCAGCATTTGAAAATCGCCGTACACGAAAACATCTTTATTTTCCTTGCGATACTCTAGCGCACGCTTCCAGAACGCGTGGACAGATAGAGTACCGGGGGCTGGAGTGGGGTTGGCGAGTTGCTCGGCGACATTGATGGCGGGATAGTCGGTGTTGACACGCATCCAGGGGGTTCCGGATGTGAAACCTGCTTGCGGATCGGCAGACCATTGCATCGGTGTGCGGGCGCTGTCGCGGGCTTTGCGTTGCATGATTTCTGCTGCGAGGACTTGTTTTTCGGGGTTGTTGGGGTAGAGGTCGCGGTACCTAGTGTTGCGTTAGAAACGTGTTGGATTTGGAAAAGAAAGGAGATGTGGCTTACTTCTTGAAGAAATTGATACTTTCGATATCTTTGTATTCTTCTGGGCCCCATTCTTTGGGTATGTTGCGCATGCCGATTTCCTCACCTTGATAGACGTAGAGGGTTCCGGCGAGGGTTGTCTGCATCAGGCAGAGCAGCTTTGCGCCGTATGAGCGCCACTCATCGCTGTCGTCAGTGTATCTGCTTATGCTGCGGGGCTGGTCGTGGTTTTCCACGTATAGTGTGTTCCAGCCGTCGCGTTCGAGCATCAGGCGCTGTAGTCTGTTTACAATTTTCTTGACATCGCGTGCATCCCAGGGGTGCAGTGTGTACTTGAAGTCGCCAGGGACGTTGTCGATGTCGACGAGGTCGAAGTTGAAAATCATGTTCAACTCACCGCTTTCAGAACCAACGACTTTGATGACTTCGTCTTCATCGCGGACAAAGGGCATTTCGCCTACGGTTAGAGTGTCGTACTTTGACAGGACGTCGCGGTGCAGTTCCTTGAGCCATTCGTGTAAGCGAGGGCCGTTGGCAAAGTACTTGTCGCCTGGTTGGTACTTGGCATCTTTGACTGAGATGGGTGCATCTAGGAAGGTTTGAACTTTTGAAATAAGGTTGATAACATCCATGCGGAAACCGGAGACGCCACGATCTAGCCAGAAGCGGAGGATGTTGTGTACAGCCTCACGGACATCAGGATTTTCCCAGTTGAGGTCAGGCTGCTCCGGTGTGAACAGTGAAAGGTAGTACTCCTGTGTCTTTTCATCCCATGCCCACGCCGAGTTGGCTTCTCCCAAGATCTGTGCCCAGTTGTTTGGCGGCTGGCGGTTGCCATCGGCATCGTATTTTGCTGGCTTCCAGATATACCAGTCTCTTTTCTTTGATTCCTTGGATGATCGAGAATCGAGAAACCATGCATGCTCTTCTGAGGTGTGGTTGACGACCAGATCCATGACAAGCTTCATGCCGCGTTTTTTGGTTTCCTGGATCAGATTATCGACATCAGCCAGAGTACCGTAGCTGGGGTCTATGTCTTCGTAGTCTGCAATGTCGTAGCCCATATCGGCCTGTGGGCTCTTGTAGATTGGAGATAGCCATATCACATCGATGCCCAAGTCCTTGAGGTAATCCAGCTTCGATGTGATGCCCTTTACATCGCCCCAACCATCGCCGTTGCTGTCAAGGAATGAAGCAGGGTAGATCTGGTATACCACGGCCTCCTTCCACCATCGGTGCCTGTCTGTGCCGACGTACAAATCCTTCTTTTGTGCAACGGCTGACATTTTGACTTGTTCCGGCAACTGATCTGAGCTGAGGTATTGTAAAGATGTAGTCCGTTCTACTTGATCGTGTGTCGTCTCTGCTTATGAATGTCAGAGGGGATTGCTTTTTGTGGACCCTTTTCGGAGGCATCATACAAACAGCGCATCTCAACGCGTGGGAGTGGGGGGGGCAAGGGACCGATTGCCGCACAGCAGGCGATACATCCGACTACACACCAATCAACGATGATGTTTTCCTCTGCTGGCCCTTTTTGTACTACAGATCGTCCATGAATCTGGTCACGGCAGCAATGTGCGATCGTGCCTTAATGTGATTCGCCCATCAGGTCGACAAACCCAGACAGCACGTTGATTGGCCAAAATTATATACCGTAGGTACTGCGTCATTGTAAAGGGCACGAGACCTATTACTCGCTTCAGAAACCGGCAACAAACTGCTACATGGTATAAATTTAACAGAAGTACTACTACTCGTTTTTTCAACTACTAATTGTCTTCGTTTTTTGTGCGCATGTCTGTCGGTCCGATATTGAGGATACACGTCGTCATTGATAGTTCCACCAATACCCCACTACTGAGCCGAGGCATCGCTTTGAGCTATGACGCATTCGGCAGATATCGAGGATGGAGGCTCTTCCGGCTCGCGGACACCACTCCTTGGATGTTCCTCACACCAAAGGATCGGAGATGACATTGATTCCGACAAAAGGAGATGGTCGGTACTGCGGCTGCTCAGATTCTTTGGTGGCGGCATTTACGCCCCAGATTCGACTACGTATGATCCTATCGAGATTCTGCTGAATACTGAGGACGAGAATGAGAAGGATGATCTTACCATAAAGTGGAGAGACAACAAACTAAGCGAGCTGAACTTCGTGGGCGTTGTGGTACGTACGAGAATCGAGATTTATCGTAATGCCACGTGTTCTGTGTCATGGTGCCTTAGGCACTGAAAGCAGCGAATGGGTCGAAGTTTATTAATGGCTAGAGGGATTGTGAAGATCAATACTGAGCTGACATGTTACAGTCCGCTCTTCTCGCTGGAGTCCTCACATCCACGGGAAGTTGGCCCTCCATCTTGCCAAATGGTGAACAGTCACCATGGCCAGTGAGGACATCCTGGTACTGCGGTATCATTCTTTCGCTGTTCAGTATTCTCACAGCTGCCGACCAAACTGTTCGACTACACCGTCTTTCCTCGCACCGTGATGGACTAGCCAACATACGCAAAATTCTTCAGAAGACCAACGGCGAGAGAAGGCATTCTTCGAAAACCGGTCGTAGAGCACCTAGCCATCTGCAGATCTTTACCTGGCAGATGCCCGTTATGTTCCTCACTTCTGCCACTCTTTGCATGATCATCGGTATGTTCCTGCATGTGTGGTCCGCAACCACGCATTTAGATCATCCGTACGTCTGGGATGACAATACTAAGGTACGCTGGCTCGGTCATTTTTATGGTACATTCCACTGATACTCTCATTCAGGTTGCCGTCGCATACAGCTCTGTCGCAATATTCTCTATCATACTCTTCTTTGTCGGCCAAATTTCGCTCTTCACGCCAGGTCGAGAGTCGTAGCGAAACTTGAGGGAACTTTTTTCTCGTTATGAATGGCATATGTTCCTGGTCTCTCGCATGGGGATGTCTAAATTTTGGGGAAATCATTGAAAGCTAGCTCTATCGGCCTATGAGCTACTTTGCCATGTTAGATCAGTACTTCACTCTAGTCACCGGTTTTACCCACACGAAGAATCTATGCATCAAGATATTTTGGTTCCCTGACTCTAGTGACATTCTCTGATATCTCAATAGGTACGTGCTCAACCTTGCAACCATGATACGCTCTATTGCTGGGAACAAGCCCAGCTTTTTGTGCAACTATTCCATGCACTAACAGATACCCGATCGGTATGTCCTGCCACTATAGAGTGAAAGCTTCTTTTCAGGTAAGCATTCTCCAAGTCAAAAAGTAAGTTTTTACCGATCCCAAGGGTTCTACGCCAAAAAAAGGAGTCAGAGTTTGCAGATCTCATGCCTCACGTTATCATGATATACAATCTATACCACTGGGCCTCGATGCGATTCTTTATTAGATCAAGGTGCTTATCTAGATATCTAGCTGGCGGTATCATGGTGCTGTGGCTATGGAGTCCTCAACGGAATGTTTAAAAAAGCTACTCGATTCTCTCATACTTGTTGATTGTCATGTGCGTTTCCCGAAAAGGAATTAATAAGATCATGGAAATGAAGGGGAAATTAGGCGAGACTTCAACCCGAGAAAGGCTGTGAACGAAGATCATTGAATCTGAGCGTCTTTCAATAGTAGTGCCTGTTAAAATCACATCTGAAGTGTCGAAAGGGATTCTGGAATTTCCTACTTACTGTACTATAATATGAGCTTCTAATAAGGCTAGTGTAATCCAGAAGACTACATTCAAAGCATCAACCGTCGATACAGCTTAACAGAAAGTGGTTAACGACCTGCGCCTCCAGCACGATGCGCCCGTAATCAATGGACCCTACCGCTTACTCTAGAGATAACGCCACGGGAGAAACAATCGAAGCATTTTCCAGAAATGGATCTCACGAAGTTGGAACAACAGAGATTCAGGGGTTAAAAGAAAATACATACAAACTAGTGAACAAGAAACAATCGGAAACTGACTATGATCTGCCCCCAGCGCCCTCATCATATTTTTTTCTTGATGATCCCGACAATCGGCTCCAACAATTAGCGTGGTACCAACATGTCTCTTTTCTCGTGCCTCACGATGTCGGGCCTGATGCGGCAGTGCCGATTTCTTATGCATTCACCGCTGACTTCGCCAAATATACCCTACTTCATGGACCCTTCAACGCCCATCTCCGCATCGCTTTATTGAATCATCCCCGGCTCCCCGCGTTTGCGATGCGAAACGGTCGGTATAAGCATGTCGTGTAAACCTTACTGTCTGCTTTTACTTCCAGATTTAGATGCCCGCGCTCAGGCCAGCCAATCACAGAGGTCCATGTCAGCTGCGGCTGACCAAACAGGGCGGAAAGTGCAAGCGCCACATATTAATTCTCGTATTCGGGAACCGGCGACTAATGCGCTAAGATACCAGGAAGCTCTGTTGCTTCGGACATGTTTTTTTGTACTGTTTCCCGGACGTTGCAAGATGTTTAAGAAGAAAGACGCTCTGGCGATTGCAAGAATGTCCAACCAATTTCGCTCACTTCAATCCTTCTTAGGTTCAAGATGCGTTTCTTAGCACTCTCCTCGATCACCTGGCTTGCCAGCACAGCTGCTGCGTATTCGTATTCGTGTAACGCATGCCAAGAGCTATCATCTGCCCTTCCAAACAACACCTTTTATCCCTCAGCACAGACTTACAACGCCTCGATTCAGTCATATCCCTTTCTCCAGCTTCGCTTACATCCTTCTTGTATCGTCCGTCCTAGTACATCACAAGATGTATCCACGGCTGTCTCGATCCTAGCGCAAACCAACTGCACCAAGTTTGCCATCAAGGGTGGAGGTCACAATGCAAATGCAGGATCCAACAACATCGATGATGGTGTTACGATCGATATGCAGAGCTTGAAGAAGGTCGAGGTTGCAAAAGGTGATCAAGTAGTACAAGTCGGTGCTGGAGCGTTGTGGCAAGACGTTTATGATACCGCTGAGAAGCGCAACCTCACTGCTATGGGTGGACGTATCGGAGTTGTAGGAACTGCTGGATTTCTGACTGGTGGTAAGTAAAACTGCCTTTTCTTGGACGACCTTGGTTCAGAAGTTAACTTTGCTCTTTAGGAGGTATTTCATTTCTAAGTCCCGAACACGGGTGGGCATGTGATGCGGTGGTAAACTTCGAAGTCGCACTCGCCAACGGCAAACTCGTCAACGCAAACTCCACATCCCACTCTGATCTCTATGCTGCTCTCAAGGGTGGTCAGAACAACTTTGGTATCGTCACTCGCTTCGACCTCAAGACTTACCCTGCACGCTCAATCTGGGGTGGCAGAACTGTGTATGGGCCCAATGCTACTGCAGCTCTGCTTTCAGCGTACACAGATTTCAAGAGCGGTGAATATGATCCCTATGCAGCTGGCTGGGTCACTGTACGATACAACCACACAGCTGGTACTTTCAACCCAGTCAGCATCATGTGGCACACCAAGCCAACAGAGAAGCCGGGCGCGTTGAAAGCGATCATTGATGTACAGCCTCAGGTCATGAACGGTAGAGTCGAGGCTCCCATCAGTGAGCACACGAGGAACGCCTCGCGACAAGTTTCCGCAAACCCTCAACGAACCATCTGGGCAACCACCTCATTCAAGATTTCGCCTACTATCATGCACAGCATTCATGATATGTGGAGAAAGATTATCCCCGAGATCTCCGAGCAGTACGCTTCTGCAAAGCCCATCGCTGAGATTACTTTCCAAGCTCTTCCCGCTCCTCCACGAAACGGCACCGCGCCAAACAGTCTCGGTTTCGGGCCAGAGGAAACCCCCGAGAAGGACCTGGTATTCCTGCAAATCATCTTCACCTTTGAGAATGCTGCTGCGGCTGATGGCTTTGAAGAGGGACTGATTGACCTCGTGAAGCTGGTTGAGGATATTACCAAGAAGGAGGGCGTCTACCACCCCTATAAGTACCTGAACTTTGCCGCATCTTTCCAAGATCCTCTTGGAAGCTACGGAAAGAAGGAGTTAAGGAAGATGTACAAGGTGGCGGACAAGTATGACCCACAAGGCGTGTTCCAGACGCATGTTCCTGGTGGCTTCAAGCTCATTTGAGCAGCCTGTATTTTGGGGGCGCAGTGTAGATAAAGAGAGTGTTTTTGTCAATACCCTAACCTAATATTCAATTATCAATGTGAGAATTCGCGGAATACGCTATTATTGAATGTCGTACATAAAGCAAAAGTTTGTGAAAAGTGATGTCAATTGGATTTGTTTGCAGCCACTCCTTGAGCATGCCAGCAACAGAATCAAGAGTCATAGTCTTGCGGTTCTTAGTTTTCGCTTCACCATACAGTAATTTACTACTCTGTAATTACAAAAAGCAATGTAAATACCATAACACCAATTTTACGTAGTTATAAAGTCTTTTTTTATCAACAACTTCTCATACAACCAGCAAAGTGGCCTTCAAGCACATCACGGTACCTAACCAGACTGCAATATCGAAGCCCTCGAATATATCTCTTTTTTAGCGCATTCAAAAACGCCTCGAACTATTGTATCAAAATTCACAAACACCACGAAGTGCAGTATTCATAAGATGCACCCTGCGCTGATCGTATTGGTAATCATTGCAGCAATTGTTGAGTGTTGGATTACATTTGCACTCATATACGCAGCTTTGCAAAGATTTGATGGGCGATCATTTGGCAGGAAAGTTAGAGATGCATTGAAGTTAAGGTTACGGAAGACATAGGGAGTCGTCGAGGGTGAAGGAGTATGTGAACCACTACAGTTTTTGTAATTCGCTATGAACACCTGGACAGCTGGAACATTTAAAATTGCTTCAATGATAGATGGGTTGAAAATTTTTATCGATTTCGAACAACACGAGTGCAATGAATTCTAAATCATTAGATCACATGACTAGTCTTGAAACATCTACCATCCATCAATGTAGTCCTGTCGTACCTCAGAGATGCAACTCATTTATCATTTCCTCTCCCGATAACCCTGCAAGTAGATTCTTCACGCTCTCAGTCGCCATCTGCTCACGTGTCTCTATTGTCGCGCTCCCAATATGCGGTACAAGAACAGCTCTTGGCTGCTTCAAGATCGGATGATCAGCTGTGATATTTGGTTCGTTCTCTATGACATCCAAACCAGCACCAAAGATCTGCTCTTCATCCAGCGCCTTGACTAAAGCATCCGTGTCGATGATGGGCCCTCGAGCAATATTGACGATGACTGATAGTTTCTTCATCTTCGAGAAGAAGTCTGTACTGATTAGGTGTTTAGTCGATGGAGTCAGAGCGCATCCAACAATTACAACGTCGCTTTCTTGAGCGAGCTGATCAGCGCTTGTAGCCGGCTCAATGGGGATGTTAGAGTTCTGGAGTAGACCGAAATGGTCCTCTCTGGCGGGTTGTCCGGGCTTAGAGGTGAGATAGATGACGCGCTTGATACCAAAGGGCAAGAGTCTCTGCAGGGAAGCTTGTGCGATTCGTCCAAAGCCCAGAAATCCTACTGTCGAGCCTCGAATTTGCGGACCCGTCATGAGCAGAGGGTGCCACGGCATTTGAGGCCACTCTCCTCTGGCAACTTTCGCAATAGACTCTCCACCTCTCCTTTGCGCCATTAGAATGAGCATGACAGTGAGATCTGCAACAGCATCGGTAAGGCATGTTGGGGTGTAGCCAAGCCGTATGTTGCGCTTCTTCAGTGCATCTCGGTCAACGTGGTCGGTGCCGACGGAGAAAGAGGCAATTGCTTTCAGTTGAGGCCCGGCAGCCTCTAGAAGCTCTTCATCAACTTTGTCTGTTAACATCACCAGAATTCCAGTTGCTCCTTTGACGTTTTGCAGGAGCCAAGATCTGTCGCAGGGCTGCAGATATGCACATTAGCCGTCTGCAACCTTGCTGCCTCCGAACGTGAACTTACCTTTTCCGACTGCCATTGCACAATTTCTAGGCTCTCATTCTTCGCATCTAGTAATTTCTGAGCCTCGTCGATGAGCTGGCGCGTGACAACGACTTTGGTCTTCGCCATGTTGGGATACGTGTTTATGGTTGCACAGTTGCCGTGGTCGATCTGAAGCGGGGTAGAATTATTACTAGTAGTCCTGTCTACGCCCGCCTGATCTTCAGTGCGTTCAAGACAGTGGGTTAGCTGCGACGACAGTTGTGATAGCCTTTGCATTGACAAATATCTGTGTAACTCTTCTGGAATAATGATTCAATCTTTGCACATCACGATCGGTTGTCTTTACCCCGATCTTTCCGCCAATAAGCAGGCATGTCAGCGGTTTGAAAAGACCCACACCGGTTGCTCTTATCAGGACGTTTTTAACACCGATTCAAACATATTTCTGTTGATAGCATCATGATTGCCTCTCAGTTACTACGCTCTCGCTGAATATCGTTAACAGTGAGCTCTGTGATATATCTCTTCAATTCTGGCTTCGGTTCTTTTACTAACTGATGGCGATATCTGCTGCTAATATGGAGTAAGTGTTTAGCTATGACAAAGTTTCATACAGAATAATTCTAAGTATTCAAAAACCAATAGTAGTCTTCGTGGTGGTGGATTCGCAGGGTTACAGTGCTAGATACAGTCGACGCGTCTAACTCAAAGAAGAATGTGTAGCCGACCCATACCCAACCCCACTTTCGGACTGTACCATAACCTCTATGTCTACCTTGCTATACGTTTTTGTACTATCTACTTTGCACGCATGCAAACTTATACTGACTGAACAAATACGATACTCTATTGAAACACAAGGAAGTAATCGCATCATCAACGACCCGAAACAGCCATGGAGGAACGAGCCAGTATTCCTGTCTTGCCACCAATCGCAAGCCCACTACCTTCATACTGGCAAGTTCCACGATCGCCTCTTGCCAATGTCATCGAATCCGAGACCGATAAGCCCACCAAACCTTACGATTACGCGATCATTGGTTCTGGTATCTCGGGTACCATGATCGCTCACAACCTTATCGAAAAGAGACCAAATGCACGTATAGTGATGTTGGAAGCACGTGAAACCTGTTCGGGTGCGACAGGTCGTAATGGCGGGCATACGAAAGCAGCAAGTTATCGGACTTATATGCAACACGCTAAGACCCTTGGCAAACAAGAGGCGCTCAAG